AATGACTCTTTCTGAGGACATTCACTGGACCAGCACCTGGTAATCCAACTACCCCCAGATTTAATGTTGATTGTCATGTTTCTGGGGCTTTATGAACCAGTACTATCTCTTCTTTCTAACATGCCCTTGTACATATGCCAGCAATCAAGCCAAGGTGACCTTTGTTATCAGCCTATTAATGGGGGATTCCCTACTAGATTGGGCCTCCCCAACTATTAGAGAAGCATTGGGGGATGCAGAACTTGGGGCTCTGTCTGCAATATGTGATCAACCAGAAACAGCTCTGTGATGAACCAAAAACAGCTCCACCTAGGTTCAGGCATGGCAACCTTCTGTGCAGCCCACTTTTGCTGTTATGCAGCTGACACAGACTGGAATGAGGCCATCCAGTTCCAATGGGGGGGTGGTCTAAGAAAAAGTCAAGAACTACCATGTGGAGGTACTCTCCAGCCAAAATACCTTTATTGAGTTGGTCATCAGACTTGACAACAGGCTAAAAGGGCATCAAGAAGAAAAGAGGTTGCCACCTTTGGCTTCCCCATTCCACACCACCTTTGATACTTACACCTGTTCTGAGTCCATGTAGGTAGATGGGAGTTGTTGAAGGTTCACTCCTGAGAAATGGGAATGGTCCCAACAGCACCACCAATGCCTCTATAGTGGTGACCCCTGGCAAACCATTGCCTTCTGTGCAGCCCATAATTGGGAGGGTTCAGAAAATGCCAAGGCACAGGCCCACTAAGTGGGGTAGGCCTGGGAACTACGCACAATACCCATCTAGCTTCAGGGTTTAGTGGGGCCCACTCACTGCCTCATAGTTCAGACCCTCAGCTGCAATTGGTCCAATGGCTGTATATACCTGGCTCACCTCAGCCATTCCTGGAGCTGACCACTCTTCTCAACTCTAGGTCTTCTGACTGCTTCATGGATGAGGAGACCACACAGAGATTACATGATCCCTTAGACAGCCAGTCCAGACCACTAATGCAGGAGACCATTGATAGGTCCATACTGTCCTCCAGACCACTAATGCAGGAGATGCTTCTCTGGAGGTAGACATCCAAGGGCGTTTGGAAATGCTGAGCTTCAGGGTAATCCATTTTCCACGTTTTCCTCTAATGCTGGGGATAACCTGGCTACTGCTGCATGACCCCATTGTGCTGTGAAAGTTGCAGGAAATCAGTGTTACTCCAGTTACTTCCAGAGACACTGCTGGAATGCCTGGGAGCCCATTGCTCAGAAGTTCCTAGGAGCATCCATACCTTTGACACTGAGGACAGACCTGCCCCCCTGACATGGTAGTAGACCTTCCCTCCAAATATAGGGACTGTCAACGTTCCCGGAAAAAAAGAACTTGGACACACACCCCATTTTGGGACTATGATTGTACTATTGAATTCCAGCCTGGGACAAAGATACCCATAGAGTAAATATAAGTCCTATCCAAACCCAAGCTAATCACTCTGTACAAGGATCTCCAAAAGAACCTAGCTAAGAGATTTATTAGGAAATCCACTTCACCTGTCAGGACACTGGTCTTATTTATAGAGGCAGGAGAGGGGTGGGCAGGGAGATGAGAGTCTGTGCCTCTGTAGATTAGCAGGTACTAACCCAAATTAGCACCCAGAATATGCTCCTTGCCCTTCGTCTTGGAACTGTTGGACTGACTACAAGTGGCTTCTGTCTTTACCAGACTGGCCTCCCATGCTGATAGTGCTAGACAATTTTATGAAAAAAGAACATTTAATTCCCTGCATTGTGTTACCTACTATCAAAGAGAAATCACAGCTCTGGATATCCACATGGTCCACCTCTGTGGACTCCCTTAGCATTTAATCTCAGAGAGAGTGTCTCAGTTTACCTCCTCATTTTGGCAAGAGGCCCTGTGCCTACTTGGACTTCAGTCCCACCTGTCATATCATATCATCTCTAATCCAGTGGCCTGGCTAAAAGAGTAAGTCAAATCCTGGAGCAATACCTTCATTGCTACAGCAGTTACCAACAGGATAATTTGTCCTCCTTGTCCATTTGCAAATAAAGGTTTCCATCCTCAGTTCCACACTGAGCTGCCTTAGATCTTTCCCAAACCTGTGGCCTCTAAATGGCTGCAGTACATTCATCATATATAGGAGGATTTGAAGAAATAAGTAAACTAAGCCAGAGAAACCTAAAATGTTATGTTAACCATTGACACCAGCCAGGCCTGACCTATATCATTGGCCAGAAGGTATGGTTATCCCCTGAGCACATACGCACAGAGAGACCCTTCTGCAAATTGGGCTGTATCCAATAGTCCATCAAATCAACACCATCGTGTACAAACTGTGGCCTCCCCAGACCCCCAAAATTCACTTAGTATTCCACATGTTGTTAAAGCTGAATACAGAAAAATCCCTTCCACACAGAACCCAGCCATTTCCTCCTGTTGTTGTGCAGGGGAATGAAGAATATGGCATTTGGGAAATCTCAGATTCAGAATTTCAACACAGCTGGTTATTCTTCCAGGGACACTGGGAAGAATATGGTCTGGAAGACTACACCTGGAAACCAGTACCTGCCCCAGCACTACTTCATGCTTTCTATTAAAAGCACCTGGGAAAACTGTGGTCAGCCTGCCTGGAAGTTGGGTATAAGAGAGGGGATAACATCAGGACACAATCCTGAACCCCCAATCTAGAGACTTGGGGACAAAATACTTGCTTGGCCCTCCACCAAGCCACAGCTTATGGAAGGAAGCAGAACAAGGAAAGGGGTCCCACTCTGAAAGGGCTTTCCACTGGCCAGTGTCTCCCAGCTCCTGACTGGATACTTCCAACTATATAAGCGTTTCTGGGGACACTGTCATGCGGCAGGAGCCTTGCTATCCTTTGCACTGCTTCCTTGCTTCTGCGCCCTGATTCAAGATGAGGTCATTTGCTGACCCTGATCGGACTTTGGCCTCTGCCTCACACTTCGGATTGTTGGGACTTGGCTCTCATGGGTAGTTGACCTGACTCAATCCCTGACTTTGTTCTGCCCAGCATTTTGGCCTTAATTGGACTCTGACTCTGGTTTTGACCCCACTTACCCTTTGGACCTTTGTCTATTGGCTGGTGCTATCACTAGTCAGACCACCTGTTCTTTGGTGTATGACAGCAGTGGCAGGCACTGTCCCACACCAACCATTGATTATGTGCAGGATTTTTTGCTGCTCCCACCAAGGAAGTGGTACTCCTTGTTACTGGACTGTTTAGGGTTAACAACAACAGTTAGTGACTCTGGTAATAGAAGATTTTTAACCATTTCTGAACATAAACATTTGCATAATTTGGCAAAGATGACATCAGAAAATATATCATAGCTGTTGCACGACATTACTGCTGAACTGAGCCAAGTGTGGGTGTAAGTTAATGTGTGGTATCAAACAAATCCACTCCAGATATTCAAGCCTCACTGTCACCTTGTGTGTACAGGCAAGCACCCATTAGAGCATAGAGGCAATCCATGCCTTGTCATATTCCTTGAGGGGCTCATGCATGCTACCTGGAGCAACTATCTTGCCTTATTTGGTGTAAATAAAGGAATACTGTCTGTGCAGAGTGTTGGTGCTGCCAACACCAGAGCTTTGGAAGGAGTGAGGCTGCAGTGGATTAAGGCTGCACTGTGTAGCTCTTTCTATCTCTTTGGGTGGGGGAATTGCATGATGCTCTGAAATATTTGAGTACAGCAGTGACAAACAAAGTCTGGGAGGGGCAGGAAGGCCAATCCAGCCAGAGGCACAGTGAAAACCCAAATTAGGTACATTTATTTCTAAACAGAAATACTGGAGTGTCAGGGCTGGCAAAAAGCAGCAAGGGAGGTCTGAGACATTGCTCAGCAGCCCATGAGCATGGCTGTTGTCTGCCTGTTCCCAGGTGAATATGATGACATTGGCAGAGCACATCATTGAAGCAACACCTGACAGGATCAAGCGGGAGAACTTTGTGCCAATGGAGTCGCCGCTGGTGGAGAGGACAGATGGTGCTGCCATTAGCACCACCATGAGCTGGCTGGCCAGTTACCTTGCTGATGTCGACCATCTTCCAAGTGCTGCGCAGATCAGGTTGGTGATGAATCCAGAGGCAGTCATGGACATGCCCCTCTTTCACTGCAGGTGTGTGCGTGTGCGTGTGTGTGTGTGTGTGTGTGTGTGTGTGTGTTTCTAAGTCCTTGGAATTGCTTTTGAATCAAATTTAATGCAAAGGAGACTAGAACTTTCCTGCTTGGTCTTGCACATGCAAACACCAGGCAATGCTGACACCTTGCTGCTGGGGACTGCTGTGAATTGATAGAACAGGGCAAACATGCAGCAAAGAAGACCCTGTTGGACATGGAGTGTGAGGCAGAAGAGGGCACAGCCAGGCAGACAGTTCTTTTGGGGCCTGGATGACCTCACACTGTATTAGGAAGCCATGAGACTGAAGTGAGTGTTTGAGAACTTAGGGTCTGTTTCCTGATCTCTCAAGCCTTAGGGCAGGATAGGCGAGCAGGAACTCCACATGTGGAAGCTCTGGGCCAGCATCCCTAATTCCACAAACCATGTCCCAAGCCTTTAACTTCCACTGAGTCATTTTCCCCAAAGCAAGGACAAGAGGATAAAAGCCAGCACTAGCCACACAGCAGCCAAATTCTAAAGCAAGGGCATGTTAGAGGGTCTCAGTGGTTATATTCAGTGCTGAGTGATAGGGGCTTGAGAAATGGATTCCTCTCTGGATTCTCCAGCTCAGACCCAGGTGCTATTACCCAATGAACACCTTCTTGTTATGTGTCCTTCCTGAACTGCAGCCTCTGTTCCTTGTCACATGCTGAAGGGCAAGGAACTCAGTTACAGGCTTCTACCTACATGTTGTGCCTAACTGGGTGTAAGATGATCTGAGGGCTGCAGGTGCTACTGGGTGTCTGACAAGGCCATCAGAGGGTATCTGTGAGAAGGACAGGGCAGCTGTGCACCCTTCCCCCTTGTCGTCTGCATCACAAAGATGATGAGTGTTTGATGGTCTGAGAATGTAGTCGAAACGTGTCCCATGTTACATAACTACTCACGTTCCCACACACATGCAGACTAGAGTCCTGGACTCAAGAGTGGCATTCCTCTGTGCAGGTCAGTGCCTTGGTGAGGATGATCATGTCCTTCCCACATCACAGACAGAGGTTGGTGATTCAAGGCTCCAAGCCTGGACCAGTGTGGTCTGTGACATGGCCCTGACTTCAGAGCTTCTAGTGAAGAAGGAGCTTAATGGAAGTGGTGCTTGTGGTAGGGACAGGACAGATGAGGCAGCCCCAGTGGGATGCCTGCTGCAGCCTGGAAGCATCCCCTTCATTTCTGGGGTCACCCAGGGTCATAACATGCAGCTTTCCTTTGCTGTTAAACTTAGTCTGAATTCAAACTGTGCCTGAAGAGCCAGTTGAGACCAACCTTATTTCAGAGCTGACCTTGTCTCGAGTCATGGGCAGGGCTGTTCTGAGTGACAGCAGCTCAGTTGCATCAGAGAGCCTCCTCTGGTGGCTTCATCAACCCCTGTCTGTTCATCTTTCACTATACCAGGCAACTTTCTACAGTGAAAAGCCCTGAAAAAACATCACGGGGATAAATCAGACTTGTAGAACTTGTTTCCCAGACGCTGTAGCCAGGCCATAGTCCAACCGGTGCCCAATTCCTCCCAAAGCCAAATGCATGCTCACGCACGGCAGGTACTAGGAGGTCAGTGCGGCCTAAAAGTTGTCTAAACTCAAGCTCCACTCTGGCAGAGAGTAGCAGAATGTGTCAGACAGCAGTAGCCACCATGTGCTCATGTGACCATGTTCACACTCTGGCTTTGGTTTCAGAAGTTTGTATAGTGAACCCCTGACCCCTTCTTCAAACACCAGCCTGAGCCCGGTCGGCTCACCAATCAGCGAAACAGCTTTTGAGAAACCCAGCCTTCCCTCAGCAGCAGACTGGTCAGAATTTCTGAGTGCGTCCACCAGCGAGAAGGTTGAGAACGAGTTTGCACAGCTAACTCTGTCTGATCATGAGCAGAGAGAGCTCTATGAAGCTGCCAAACTTGTCCAGACTGTGTTCAGGAAATACAAGGTGAGTCACTAGTGCAATAGCATAACTAAAGGTGGGAGAGAGGGTGTACCCACCCCAGGTGCCAAGTTATGAGGGGCATTGGAATCACTCCCAACTTCCTATGGAGTCTGCACCTAAGCAGCATTGCTGGGCTGGGAATTCCAAAACAGTTCCTGGCTACTGTTGTTTGTAAGAGCAACAGATCCAGGATGAACAGAGCAGATGGAGGCAACAGTTCAGCCAGGATTGTTTAGACATTCCTGGCTGGGTAAGACTCCCCTCCCCTCACCCCCACTCTTGGACCCATGCACCACATCCTGCCATGTCCTTCCCACTCACAAAACTGTGCCCCCTGCCCTCAACCCACTCTTTGAACCACATGTGCCCTGCCTCCCCATTCTCCTGTAAGTTTGCCCTGGACACTTAAGTCTGCTGTGCTGATGTGCCTCGGGGGGAGGGGGGGAGGGGGAAGGAAGCAGAGTCTGCCAGGAAATTAAATGCAAATAATATATGTTTACAGGATACAAGAGGTTCCCCAGTGTGTCCTCCTGGCCTCTTCCTCTCACCCCTTATATTTTATGCCATGTCTTGCATGCTGCTGATTTGGTTTAACAGGCCAGTGGAGTCAGGATGCCCAGCCCCAGCTCCACCTTGGCGGACAGTGTTGCTCTAGTGGAAGCCCTGTGACTCTCTAAGTACATTCATGAAGATTCAGCCTTTGGTCAGCCACCTGTTTTCATCTTGTTCTGCCAGCTACTGGCTCATTGTCTACAGAGGAATCAGAGGGTCTCTGTCTCCTTTACCAGTTGCTAATGAAACCTTTTTCTCAGTGTCTGCTGGTGGGAGCTGAGCAGGAAGGAGCCAGGAATCAGAGCCCTTGCCAGCTGCAGCAGACCACTATTTTACATCTTCCCTTCTGGTTTGCCCACTCAGTTTGCTAGTCATTGTTTTTTTTCACTTCTTTGTGCAGGGCCGTCCCCTCCGGGAGCAGCAGGAAGTGGCTGCTGCAGTCATTCAGCGTTGTTACCGAAAATATAAACAGGTAAGCAAGGCTTGCCCTTTTTGTGCAATCACAAAGCCCCCACAGGCACAGGTACAGGCACAGGCACAGGCACAGGCACTTTGCATTGGGAATGAGCCCAAAGGGGGAAAAGCCCCCAACACGTGCTTTTCACTATGCAGCATTTAAAGTCTTTTACCTTTATTTACCATATTTGATTCTGAGATAAGGTCTGCCACATTTAACATGGCAGGGGGGAAAAGTCTTGGAATTGAGTACAGGGCAGTGGTCTAGCATCAACCCTGGGCTGGAGCCAGAGCCATAGCTGCTGCTTGTCTGCCCCACCTTGCTTACCAATGCTTGCAGGCTTCATCCCCACTCCAGTCTGGGGAATGTAGCTCATAGTAATGGTGCTGGCTCTGTGCCTCTGCTGTGGAGCTGGTCTGGCCCTGCTCTGTGCCTCAGGCTAGAGTGGGGGAGAGCCTGCCAGTGCCAGAGCAAGGATGTGGGGAGAGGAGGGGAAGGGCAGGCAGGGATCAGAAATAAGGGTTCAGGGGAAGGGAAGGGAAGCTGGACTGTGGCTGCACAGGGAAAGGGAGAGACAGGGGTGGCAGAAGCAGTGTTGGGGTGGGGTGGATATGGGAGAAGGGAGCAGGGACTTGAGGCTGTGGGGGGGAGCAGGTGGCAGGCAGCAAGCTACCTTAGCTCTTTCACTGCCTGCTCCCTACCACCCTCCTCCCCCGCTACTTGCTCTGCACTGCCTGCTGCCTACTACTGTTTTCCGTGCTGCAGTAGTGGTGGGGACAAATTTAAAACAATCCTCCAATCAAGGTTTTATGTGTGGAAAATTATAATAATTTTATGTATTTTCTATGTATAGAATCTAAGTATTGGGGGATTGTCTTAAATTCAGGATCATCTTGGCTTTCGGTTAATAAGTTACATTGCAACTGAGCTCCAAAGAGAAGGAACGATCCTGAATTGAACACCATTTCTCCTGGAGGGAATTCTGATGCATATGCTTTCCCTATTTTATTATGCACTGTGCTATCCAACAGTGCAGAAGAAACCAATCTTTCCTCAAGTATGAGTGACAGGCCAGTTTGAACCCAGAACAATCATGCAGGTGCAACAGCATGTTTGAGATGGGACAGAAGGAACAAGCATTATTTCCCAGTAACCCGTGTAACCTTGTTACATACTGGTATGGTGACACTGTACTTCTGGCTAGGAACTTGCCAAATTTCATTGTGAAATTGAAGTTGGTTTTGTGCTCAAGACTGTCAGCCAAGGAAGGTGGGGGGGGGGCCTTCTTTTGTACATGCCAAATTTAAAAATACTGGAAAGCCAGTATTTAACTTTATCTAAGCCACCCCGGAGCTGAGACCATGCACCAGAATCTGCTCTGGAGACAAGATTTAGGCTGACTTCTCAACCCCAGAAAAAGATGATTTTTTTAAATGGGAACAATGCCAGCCTAGTAGCACCAGTTCTAATGAACTCCTCCCCCAGTCTTGGACTAACACACAGGATTAGAATCCTGGAGGGAAAGACAGATTCCTGCTCTGATGGAACTGTCTGATTGAAATGGTGATTAGGGAAGCATTACTCAGTTGGACCACAGCTGTGATTCATACATGTAAAGGCACATGTACTAGCATGAAGTTTCCTGTGATTCCAGAACATGGATCCCTTCTCTCAACCTGCTTAAAGCTGGTCCTGGGCCTGGGTGATGTTGCTTTTGAGAGAAGATTGTTTGGGTTTTTCTCAATTCTTTATTTGCAGAACTAATGTTAACCTTGTATTTTCTGTTTCTCCCCCAAGCTTACTTGGATAGCCTTGAAGGTAATGAATACACAAATGCTGTTTCAAAAACTGCTTCCCTTGGGTCTCAGATTTCCATGTTCAGCAGAAATAAGGAAAACCTTGGTGTTCAGTGCAATGATTTGATAGTGCCCAATAGCAAATACATGCTAGTTAGATTGTTGTGCAACAGACACATTCCCACTGGAGAAGAGATGTTAGCTGCCATGCCGCGAGCATGTCCTGGCGTTGCAGAAGTACAGTAGTGAAGCCCACTCTTACATATGTGTGTTTGGTGACACTGGGCTAGGAAAAGACAATGCCTGGTGGCAGCTCATTTTGAGGGGTGGTGAACACCGCTCTTTTATCCCTTGTCCTCGTACTTTCCACTGACCAGAAGGCAGGGCAGGTGAAGGGATCCCATGATACTGTGTGCCGGTCTAGTGGCATCCTGGGTGCCTGGGCTGCAGTTCCCACTGTCACATCCCTCCTGACAGTGTCATGTTATCTTGGAGTGCCTTTAGGGTTAAACCAAAGCATCACTGTTTCCACTTTTAAGCCCTTCTGTTCAGGGGTTTGTAACTCAGCCGCTCAAGTCCCATCTGGACTAAGACTTGGAAAGAGAACGATCAGCCTGTAAGTGGGTGTTTTACAACAGCTAATTTAAAACCAAAATCTGTTTCATTTACTTATTAAATTATATGGGGAGGGAATAGCAATGATGGCAAAACAGCCAGCACCCAATGACTGCTTCAATTCCAAAGAGTGAAATTTGGTAAATGCCAGAGTTAGTCCACATGCCTATCATAGAAAAAGACAGCTCCTCAGTAAGGTGATGCATAGCATGGGCGTGTGTAGGGGTGGGCCTGCAGGCTGCATGCTGCCTTTCCCCTGCAATGAGCGAATGGAGGTTGGCAAACTAACCAGGGATGACAGCCTTTCAGTTGCAGATGCTGTGTTTGTCAAAAGAGGGCTAACAGTCACTGCAAACATCTGCTATGAACCCCAGAACAGCCTTCACAGATGATCTAGCGTCTGCCCTTATCTCTTAGAGGATTAAAAGCTCACATGCTGTAACATTCCTGAATACATGTGGCTGCTGTAAACAGAAGCTTTCTTCATGGGCTATTTCAAAAAGAAGAAACATGAAACAAAGATTCTGTTAAAGTTCCTTCCAGGAATAGAATACAGCTCTGCTCTGCAGTTGGCTGTTGAGTAATTGTCTCCTGCTACATAAGGGAAAGCTTGTTAGTAGACCCTGCAATAGAATACATTAACTGAGGGAACTGTATACACAACCCCAAGCCATTGGTGCATTTCTGGGCTCTGTGCCAGGAGTGAGTCCAGAGGAGGTGCACATCCTGCACATGTTGAGCAGTTTCTCACCTGGTCCTTTGGGTACCTTGTAGAAAGCTGAGGAGCTGTTGGACCAGAGAACACCACTTCAGAGCCCAAGTTCTGTGGACATGGAGTTAGAGACTTCAAGGGTCCCTGGTCTGGGAATAACCAGGGATGGAAGAGGGTTTAGAGTGTGATGGGGCCTGAGGGCAGATTTGCATTCCAGCAGATGCTTTTTACAGCTCTGAAAAACAGAAGTCTCTCTGGGCAGCAGTGCTTCAAGGTGTGCTCACTCCAGCAGCCCCAACCCTGAACTGGTTTGATCCAAACACATTCTAAAATGCTGTAGTGATGGGCCCCAGTGAGCTTGGGTTTGTTGGTTGTTTGGGTGTCAGTGCAGCATCCCCACCCTTACAGATGCTGAGACCAGGCACTCTAGCTGTTCCACTCTCAGTGTCAGAGCAGAGCGCAGAACAAACTGTAACCTGGGAACACCCAAGAGTGTGCCTGTCCTCAGTTGGAAGGGATAGATGAGGCAGGCGGCAGTGCTGTGAGAAGGACACCAGTGATTTGAGCGCAGGACACTTTTTCCTCTATAGAATCAACTGCATGCCAATGCTCTTAACTATTAACAGTTTATTGAATTATAATATACAGATTATTTCTTATTCAGTGTGTGTGTGTGTGTGTGTGTGTGTGTGTGTGTATATATATATATATATATATATATATATATAGGTAAATATACTAATAGGTAACAAAAGAAAACTTTCCAAAAATATTCTTAGCAATATCTTTTAACAACACCAAAGGTATACAGATAAATATTTACAATATGATAAGCCAAAAACTCATTATACCAAACTAACCCAATTCCATAATATTTTGTAAAACATATTCATAATTATGATAACAGTTATAAAAAATATGAGGCACAGTTTTACACAATATAAGGCGTGTTTACCCCTGGATCCCAGCTAGCAAGGGGTGCTTCCCCTTCTATGGCTCTAGCTGGGAGGGAAACTTCCACCTGGGGCTTCCCTCTTGGTTGGGGGTTGCCTTATTTCAGGAATGCCTCTCTTGTGGGACCCAGCTCCACCAGCAACTTACAGTTTTCTTCGAAGAGCCATCAACCAGGCCTCAGAGCCCTTCACTCAATCAGAGGCCCCAGCAGCGTTGTCTGCATCACTCTGAGACCTCCCCTCCTGGCCTTGTGCCCCACTTTGGGCACCGAGGGTTTTTCCAGCTTATGTCTAGGCCTTCCCTTTCCTGGGCCCTGCTCTAGGCTCTGGGGTTCTTTTAGTTCTTTGGTTGGGCCACACTGCAGGGCTCTGGTTATCTGGCTTATGCCGGGGCTAACCTGAGCAAGCTCAAGCTGCTCCCAGGGCAGGTTCTCCATGTGCCAGTCTGCATACCACTCCGTTCAGCCCTCTGCTGAGGATGCAGGCTCAAGCTGCCTCAATGCGGTTCCCAGAGCCTAAACTCCGTGTGCCGGCCTGGGGCAAAGAAGGGATCCCGTGGAGGCTCTTCCCTCTCCAGTGTCCCTCACCGTTACTGCCCGGTGTGCTGAGCATGCTGGGCTTTTACCTACACTGGAGGCCTCGCCTCTAAAGTCTGCCAGACCTGTAAAGTGCAGTCTTCAATGAGGTCCAGGGGCTCCTCACGCCCTCCCCCTCCGAGCAGGGGCAGGGTAAAAATGTTCCACCAATCCAAAGTGTCCTTCTCCAAGCCGGGCTTGCCAGGCAAAAGTGGCAAGCCTGCCACAAACCCATGAACAAGAGAAAGCAAATTAGCTTCTTTCTCTTTAGAGATACAGTCATCTTGCCTGGAAATGTGAGAGGAATGTGTTCTCTTACACATTCTGTGCATTTGTGCCTTTCTCAGCATTTGCTTATAGTTAGTTCTGTCATTCCCCCGCAGTCTCCCAGCTACTTATATTCTGCTTCTGTGGGAAAACAGCTGTTTGTGCAGAACAGAGACTTTTGGCATCTTATAGCGAGTTTTGCTGAATGTAATAAGGGGAAATAACAACAGTCCCTCTGTAGTCAGCTTATCACTGCTTGCAAGTGTGCCTGCAGTAGACAGAGAATAAGTTCCTCCCACTTTGCATTTGTTGTAAACTGGGCTCTTGAGCAAAGCAGGTGGTCATTACTTAAGGTCTCACATGCTCTGCCTGTCTGAAGCTAAATACATCACACTGCCACAACAACACCATTGCTAGCAGGCACTGTTGTAGAGTTAAACAATTTTTCCAGTATATATTAGGTCTTCAAGTCAGCGCTGTACCTTTCCTGATTTGCAGTGGGCCTTGTTTCAGATTAGTTCTCAGTCAGATAGGCATAACTGAATTTGGCTTCTCATCACATTCTGGTGAGATGAGTCTTGGAGGCCCTGCTTCCCTTTGGCGTGCCTGAGCTTCTCTTTGTCTCTTCTGCAGTATGCACTTTATAAAAAGATGACACAAGCTGCCATCCTTATCCAGAGCAAATTCCGAAGCTATTATGAACAGAAAAAATTTCAGCAGAGTCGCCGAGCAGCAGTGTTGATTCAGCAGTACTATCGCAGCTACAAAGAGTGTGGGAAGAGGAGACAGAACCGCCGAGCAGCTGCCATTGTACAACAGAAACTCAGGTGGGTCTCCTAAGGGAGGGCAGAAACATACTCTTGCAGCAGAGAGAACAGGGGACTAAGCCGATGGGAGGGAGGAGGGGCAGAGATTCTTTGACAAACAGTGCTGTTTTGCGAGATGGGAGGTGCAGAGACAAACCTAGTGTCCTGTCCACACACTGTGAATCAAAGGCCATGTACACTTTAGCATGCAAAAACGAATAAATAAATAAAAACTGCCTGCTGCTTTTGCAGTGAAAGAAATATCTGCTTTTCCGAATGATACTCTCCCCAGGAGGAGCAATCTCTGCAATCAGAGGTGTGTGCTCTATTTGCTGTGGCTTTAAGATTCTTCCCTGGGCCTGCTCAGGTTGTTTTGTCTTTGCATTAATTGTGAAATGTCTGCTTTTCCAAAAGCTCTTTCAAATAAAAATCTGAGGGGTCTGAAAAACCTCCACTTCCAGGTGGAGGAGTTAGTATATCAAAGCAGTAGTCTGCACATCAGTCTCTGTACAAAGGTGCAGCTAAGGATCAGTCACTGAGCGCAATAAATGGAAAGTGGGAGGAACTTCCTCTCTGGCTGCAGGGAACATAGGTGATAAGTGCAGATGCGCTGCATGATCCAGTCTACCCGAGCCTTGAGCTGGACTGTATTGTACGCGCAAAGCAGGCAAGACAACAGAGTAGGGCCAAAATGCCCCCATTCAGTGTTTACACTCTCCTCAATGCTGCCATTGCCTGATGCTCCCTCCTTTGTGTTTAGAAGCAGTCTGCTCACCAAGAAACAGGATCAAGCTGCTCGCAAGATCATGCGGTTTTTACGACGCTGCCGCCACAGGTATGCCTTTTCCCCTCATCAGCCATCCCCAGGTCACCCCAAGCATCAGGCCCTCAACAGACTTAGCTGTGTTCCTTGCTCTGCTACAGATGGTGGGCTTGAAGCCCTGGAGGGAAGTGTACCTGAGTGACAGTCTCCAAACTGCTTTACAAGCTTCCCAAGCTGCACCTTAGCAGTTCTGTTCAGGGTATGGTGCGGGATGCTGCAATATCTGACCTACCTTGCAACTGCCTTTGTTTCAAAAGGAGAGAATCCATGGAAAGGCACTAGAGCTGAACCTGTCTTTTTCTGAGTAAATGGAATCCCTATCTAAATGGCAAGCAAAGCAGTCCAGTGCTGACATGCTAGGGAGCAGGGTGGTCTGTGGGGACCTTGTGCTCTGCTCTCACTTCTAGGTGTGCTCACACCACAGAGCAAGGTACAGATTTGCACACCTGGCCAGGCAGAGTGCGTGTGTTCACATGTACCTGCAGCCAGGAAGGGTCCCTTGACAGTAGGCAGAACATGAGTTCCCAGCTGTGAGCAGGATGAGCCCTTTGCTTGGATTATGCTAGGTTGCCTGGGTTTCCTTTAAACTGCTATCTCCCCAGGCCTAGCCAGGCTGTGGCTGTGGCAGCTTCTCTTATCCAAGATCCTTCCCCTCTCTTATCAGCCTGTCCTCAGCTGAACACTCTTTGCAGAGGGGCTCCACTCATTCGCCATGGAGGCTTAGGGTGAGGAATGACCCTGGCTGGCTTCAGCTCCTGGCTGTGTTCTTAGGTGTGCCTAGTGTGTGTATGGGGAGGGGTTGTTGCTGCTGCTTGTCAAATGGGGAAGTTGGAGCTTGGTCGCTTTTAAACAAAAAATGCAGAAGAAACCCAAGGCAAAACAGGAAAAGAACTGTGACCCTTCCCCACATCATCTTCCTAACCAAGGCCCATTGCCTGAAGCTCCAAGTCCTGGCTTCTGCTGCCTAGACCTATCTCTGAGCCCAGAGGGTGAGGCAGAGCAGGTTGTTGGAGAGGTTCTGAGCTGATTCCCAAAGGAGATCTGGCCATGTTTCCTAGGGTATCCTGCTTCCCCCTGTCCCCTCCACAAGACATGCAGAAAGATGTGCATGTGCTTTACTCTGGCAACTGCAGAGGTTTAGAGGTAACATCCCTTTGCAGTGTTACTAGCAGTGGTTGTTCCACCAGCTTCAAGAAGTTAATTAAAATCATATTCAGTAAAACTACACAAGCAACATAAAAAGCCTGCACAGAAATGGCAGTCTCAGGAAGACACACATCAGCAGGGGTCTATTCCCTGGCCCCAGCTCATCCCTCCTGGTGAAAGCGTGACACTTTCAGGCTAATTAAGAATTCTCTTGAACTCCCATAAATGCGTGGAATAGAGCATGAGTCACTTTGATGCAGAAAGGAGACAGTGGCCACAGCCATGAGCTGAGTTGAAAACATGTACTAAGGAGAGCAGGAACAAGAGCAGGAAGAAGCCAGTGTGTTCCCACCTCTGGGAGGAGGGAAAATGTGGCAGCTTTCAGATGACATGGTGGAGCCTACCTCTCCCCACTGAGAATGCACAAGGCAGGTAAGGTTCTTTGGGTAGATGTGATATCTTGTATTAGACAAACTGAGTAGTTGGAAAAAAGTTCTTTGCAAGTTTTTGGGCACAAGCACAAGAGATGTTGTGATAGGTAGTGGCCTGTGACTGCCTGAGATGGAGAAAGATAGGAGAGGAGGGCATAATAAGTGAACAGAGAGCACCTACCAGTGGAAGGGAAATGAGATCTGGCTGGGTGCAGGGAAAAGGTAAGGTGGGGGTGGGGAGGAAGCTCTGCTGCTAATGGGGGAAGGGCAGAGCACAGCTCTGTCCAACAAAGGGTGAAGGCAGCAGAAACTTAGCCACAGGAACAGTGAAGAAACATTGGCCACTTCAACCTCAGGAATTGGCACCTCAGGAATTATCCCTCACCAGAAACTGCTCTCTTCCTTTGATGCAAGGCTAGGTGCCATGGTCTCTCCAGCCTGCTTCTGTATAACCAGCTGGTCCCAAGGCTCTCCGTTTGGGTGTTTTGGTTCACGTCTTCTCATATCAGTGCTGAGTAGTGCCTCTCTGTCCAGGTGTAAGCAGCTTCTGGGAAGTTTCTCACTTACTTTGTTAGCTCGGCTTCCTCCCAGAGGCCTTCGGCAGAACAAAGCTGATTTCTCCCATCTGAGAACCAGAGTCATGTGGCTTAGACCTGTGGGTAGCTCCCAGAGGTCATGAGCTTTTGCTTGCTGTAGTGTCTGACAATGGGTCCCAGTCATCATGGGTCAGCTGCTGAGAGAGGCCTACAGCTGTTGTCTGGGTATATGATAAGTTGACTTTGTAGAGGGTACATGAGTGTCAGTTCAGTGTGTGTGGAAGGTGGCAGGATGGTGCAGCTCAGGTTTCTCCCTGATCCATAAGGATATGGGCAGGCCTTAGAGAGGCAAAGACTCCGTTCTTATCAGCAGTTGTTGGTAGGGTTGGAGGCCCAGAAATTCCCATTGAGCCTCATAGAACAGCTGGGCTGGCAGGGCTCTGAGAAGGTCCTATCTAATCCAACAGCAGAACAGCCCTGTCTGAAACATCCCAGACAAACTGTGACCAATGCTTGTTTGTCACCTGTTCACAGGTCCAAAGAAAAGCACTCTGTCCATCTCGCAGTGCCAGCAGGACCTGTAAGAGTGTTTCTTATACAAAGTGAGAGAGGCCACTCAAGGCTTTTCAGATGTGCATCAGCTGAACAGCTGTGAACGTGTTTGATGCCAGGGCCGGGAAATGACCCTGCTTTTCATGTGGAGGTTGCAGTGGTACCTGTTGCTTGCTGCCCCTGGCCCAGACTACCTCCTTGAACATGAGCAAAAAAGACTTTAACACTTAATGACTCTGGGTTTGAAAACACTTGCCTCACCTTCTCTGTGGTTTACAAATGTTCCTGCTTCAGAACCACAGGAGAGGTGGGACAGTGTCAGTCCTGGGTGAGCCTGGCATAACTGAACTGACTCCATATGCACTTGACCACCTATGTTTGGTGGATGGGTAATGTCCGTAGGCCACAATTGTCTGCTGGGGCATAGTCCTGTTTTAGCTGGTGACATTTAGGTAGAGATGAAATAGTCTATAGGGTGAGGGAAGGTAGGTGGAGCCTGGAGATATCACTGGGATAACTGTTGGTTTCCATTTGATTTCTGTATTGCATGTTACCACCCTACATGGTCCTGAGCTCTGATCTGCTCTTGCCTGACAGAAAACTGGAGCCCTCCAGCCAGCAGCCAGGGAACAGTCCTCTCTCTCAAGGCAAACAGAGCCCCTTGGTCTCCTCTTCATTAAAGTGAAGCTATTTGTTAAGGTCTCTTTAATGCCATTTTTATGCTAATAGCTCTTTGGTATTGTTTTGCTATCTGAAGCCCTCTGGTGGACCATAGGCTGTACAAAAGGGTGAGTTTAGCTGCCTGCTAGCCAGTTTCTCTCTATTCCATTTTAAATATTTTGCTTTCTGCTTGCTTGCATGGGGCTGCAGCCTAGATATGCCAGTAAGTTTCACCTCCATTAATTATATGAAAAAATACTGTACAAACTAACCCTATTGCAATTACTAACACTACCGCTTTTTATAACAGGGCAGAACACTACAGTAGATGTTACAAATGCATGAATAAGTGAAAAAGGAACTTTTTTATATCCATCACCAGGCATGCCTAGAAAATGGTGTTGGTGGGATCTTTGCAGTATCCAAAATGGCTGTTGTCAGGATTTTCTTTGGCACAGGGTGGGTCTTCACTGACACATGCTAAATGAGTAACGACTTCCTTGATACTGACAGTTGCGCTGCAAGCAAATGTTAATGCTGCAATATTTTTTCTCAGCAGACTCCTTCACAGTGCTAGGATGCACTAGGTACATTTGCTGCAAATGAGCCATAGCAGGATGGGGGAGTTATCTCCTGCTCCTTTCCTAACACAGTTCAAGCTGTAGTTGGGTAGTGGGTAAGTCCCTTGGCTGGCTGCTCCACAACTGTTATTGGGGTCCTTGCTTGGCCAACGACCTTTATCATGAGATGGACTGAAAAACAGTTGAGGATGTTTTAGATAACATGGATGAGTGAGGAGTTGCTGAACAAATCCCTTCCCAGGCACCAGAAATCTAGTTATCCTGTGGTGTGTTGTGTAACATTCAGGTTCTGTCCCTGATGGGGCTGAGACAAGAAACAGAACCACAACTGATTTGTTCCTGTCGTCAGGAGCATGGGCCTGGCAGTACTGCTTAGAGCAGGCCCCAGCTTTGCAGCACCTCAGACAGGGCACTTTTAAAAAGTGGTGCTGTTAAAGTGTTCTGTAGCAGACAAATGAGACTGGTGCCCCCATGTAGCTGACAACAAGCAGGAGAAGGAGCAGGAAGTCTCCAAGTAGTGCTCCCTACCAATTGCATAGCTAATATTTTAGAGGTGGCCTTGACTTCCCCTGACACTTACCTCCAGCCCCACCTGGTTTGGTTTATTCTGGGGAGACAAAGTCCAGCTCTTAGTTGGATGTTTCTACATTGTGTAGGATTAGCATGGCCATGCTCCTCCCACACTTAGCTAGCCAGTCCCTGAACTCTGGCCTGATTATATCTACAGGCTGAGGCAGGGATGGTCAGGCAGAAAGGTCTGGCTAGCGGCTCCCAAAGGCCCCTGGCTTGTTAGTCTTGAAAAGCAGAAATTACAGTGACTTGATTTAAAAAGAAAAGTGCCTCTACTTATTCCCCTGGGACAATCAATTTTTGTTCAGCTGCAGAGATGAGCCAGACAGTCAATGCTGACCTGCTCTCCCAGAAAGCTAGAGCTGTACTGACTCTTCCTTGTGTGGTACAGATACAGGCTGGGTTCTCTTGCTTTGCAGGTAGCAATTGTAGGTGTAACTACTAAGACAAAGGTGGAGGAACAGACTAATCTGTCTCCTCCTCAGGACCAAACATGGAGCCCAGAAGTCCTGGCCACTGGGCCCCCAGTGCCCTGTTGCTGTCAGTCCAATTGGTCTCTCTTGGGTGCAGAACACTCCTGGGTCAGAACACCACCTATCACATTCAGTATGCATGGATGTGACTGGCTAAACCAGGTTCAAAGCAAGCAGAGCCAGGCCCCTGGCTTCCTGGTTCTTCATTCTCCCTCCAGAATGGAGAATACTGCCCTGGGATCCCAACTCTAAGCCCAAGGCCGCTCCAGTCCAGTGGACTATGCTTCTTCCCTCCTCTGGCAGCTGGGCTCCCACCCTCTTGTAGGGTTGCAGCATCTGTGGATACATCTGAGTGGAGCCAGGGCACTGCCAAAGCCTTGTTGGCTTTGCTGTGTTCAAGCCCCGCACTGAGGTCATGTGAAAGAGTTACCCCTTGCCCCTATGGCTCTATCTGCTCATGCCTGTGACTTTTCAGAGCAACAGCAAAGAGAAAGGAAGAGAATCCAGCAACTGGGGATGGGAAAGAACAAGGTCAGGGAGGCCCACCTCTGCTGCTTGACAGAGGCCACTCCTGAGCTTGGGGCTTTGTCTTGTTTGCTGTAGGACAGGCTGTGGCTGCCTGGCTCTTTCCAAGGCTCGGGATTCTGTGTAGGAGAGTGTACAGGTTAAGAATTGACTTCTTCAAGATATAGCACGAGGGGAAAGACTAATGCTTTCCTTTTTGAATATGAGCCAGTTGGCCTGGAAGCTGAACAGAACAGAGACAGTGCTATTGGGCTGTTCCTTTGAAGACCAGGACTCTAAGCATAGATGCATCCTGCAGTCCCAGGTCTGACTGACTTGGCTTCATCTGGCATGGTCCATGTGCCACTCAGAGAGCCTGGTGTGGTAGCAGTCTTCATGCAAGACCTTTGCTTGTGCATTTGGAAGCCTGCCTTGTTTTTCAAACATGATACAGTTGTGGATACTCTATAACCATGTGTCAGTATGAGGGCAAAGCTCTGGCTCTACCCCTTGGTGTTTTTTTTCACCATGCATGTGTGGGAGCTTAAGATGGAGTTCACTGCCTTAGAGTGAGACCAAGGACCTGGATATTACTTCTGGGGGAGTTGCTGGGGCAGGCTTTTGACTAGACGAGCGTATCATTGCTCCATGGACTAGAGTGGAGCACCGGCAGGTTCCAACAGCACAGGATCCTCCAAGTCCAGCACCACCTGTATGGGGCCAGCCTAGCATGAGGTATCTCTTGCTGCTGTTGCACTTTAAAATGAACTGTGGGGCATGTGAATTGGGTTCTGAGGGAGCAGCACTGTGCAGGCTGTAAAATTTCTGGAAGCCTTAAGTAGTAACACAGAAGCAGCCAGGACTTACAGTCCCTTTGCTCATACGTAACCCTTGGTTATGTTCACCCTGTTGGCATCACAGACTGAAATTTCAAGCGTCCAAAAATAATGAGAAGCCATCCACAGGACATTTTCCTTCTAACCTGCTACTGAACCTCATACTACCTCAGAGATGTACATATATGCATATACAAAGAGTGACTCCTGACCTCTGAGGTGGTGGAAGAGCAACAGATTATCACAGTATCAGATTTTCCCAAGACCATTGCCACCATGATGCTTAAGATGGCTCTGATGCCCAATTTGAGGAACCTGGGGGGGAGACCAGACACTAAATTCATCTCTAATAACAGAGAAAAAGATTGCAAGTGAATCTCTGTGCCTGCTAATCATACAGGTTTGACTGCTCTTTCCTCTCACCGAGGTCTTTTGTTTTTGAGGCAGGGAGTGTTTTCAGGTGCATTTGCACAGTGGTCAACTTGGGTCTAGTCCCTGACCAGGGCTTCTAGTCTCCATTCTAGCACCAATAATTTGTGCCTCAGGGGAGCAGTGTCAGTGACCCTAAATCAGCCAAAGGAGCAGGTCCTGTGTATGGGGGTCTGTGTGTATGCTTCAGTATGGTGCGTCCATAACTATTCTCTCTGCACAGCCCTTGCCAGTCACAGTGAGTCAGCAGAGTTTCATTTTCTTAATCTCTGTACTTTTTCTGGATTTCTGGAAAAAAGAAATGATGAGTGAGGTGTCTTAGCAGCAACTGTGCCAAAGCATGAGAGGCTGTACAAAGGGAGCTCTTTCTTTACAGCTGTGGGTGCGCATGCATTTAAAGAATGCATGCTGTGCGTGTGTGCATGTGCACATCATGACCTGCCATGCACATACAGAAGTTTTCATTCTTAAATACTCAGATACTTTTGTTCAGGTGACATAGCACACAAGCACAGATCCTACTCAGCCTGCACACACAAACCCATGTTGAGAGCTTACACTCAGGTTCCTCATTAAAACATAAAAAGATGTTAGGACTTAGTCCTTCACCAGGAATGAGCTGGTTTAAACAGGCCAGGTTTATTACGGAGATAGATTTTTATGGGTGGAGGGAGACAGTGTGTTTGCTAAAGCAGGAACAACAGTGTTCTAAAAGGAAACTGTCACTAGTTACTTGCCTCTAAAAGGCCTACCATATGAGAAGGATTATACCTGATATTAGTGTGTACTGCCATTCCTGATGCATACAGACCAGTTCTTTTCTGTGCACTCCCAGCTCTCCACTCCTGGTTGTAGTTTGTCAAAGCACAGGTGCAAGGTGTATTGACTTGGTACATGCTTACCAAAGGATGCACAAGGCTCCAGCAATTCCATCTGCCATAGGTATGCAGGCATCCCAGAGATGGGGTGTGCCAGGCCAGTTTTTCTGGAATGTCAGACTGGCTATATCTCTTTCTGCTTATAGTGAAGGGTTGAAGCTGTTTTCTGAGGCAGAACATCCCCAGGTCACAGTTATTAATAACATGCCAAGGTTATGTTTGTTTATAGCACCATCCTCTCAAAACCTGCCTCCCTCTCCCCTTCCTCACTGTCAGGTTAAGTACTGCTCTCCACTTGGGGCAGTCAGTGCCTCAGGTAAGTAACCCTTCCTTGTCTCATACATAAATGAACCACCTCAAGCCCCCCTTTTGCTATGCAGCCCATGTCAGACCCCAGCTGTTCCCAGCAGCAGCCTCCCCTCTCTTGTGCACCAGAAATGGGTCTGTGCAGCAGCCAGTACATTAAGTCCCCAGTTCCTTTTTGCCCCTTGTAGTGACATCTGGAATGGGGAGAGAGGTTTCAGGGGAGGGGGGAATCTGTCTCTTAAGTGATCAGCCAAGAGATCACATTGTGGTAGCTGCAGCAGAAGTTCCCAAGTAATTCTGTTTCATTTACATCTTGCAGGGGCTGAATGTCTTTGGAGCACAAATGTATGTGTTCAGTTGCAGACCGCATGCTCTGGGGTGTCATTCTTATTGGGCCTTTCTGTCTTTTTTGTTTTGCAACCCAAATGAGGTAACTGAAGAAAGGCAAGAGCTCCCATTTTCTAAATTTCCCACAAGCCATTTCAGCTCTAAGAGCAACAGGTAACTCACTAGAAAACCTTCTCTAGCTCTGATTCACCCTGCCCTTTTAT